GGTTAGCCGTTGTAAAGGAGAGCCGCTTTGCAACAGCAAGCTGAGGTGGAGAAAACACAGAAGAGAACAGTAAAGTAAGGATCGAAATTTGACCGGATCCTTATGAGCCTCAAATACTGGGATAGGGGATAAGCTGCTGTTCTTTGTGAATAGGACCTAGAACTGCATTTTCAACAACATATACCGGGCAAAAGAATGAAGGCAAACAAAGGTTTGTACTCAGAAAACAAACTGTGCAAGAAGATATGATAAATGACGTGCTTAACGTAACACACACGAGGCCAGAGACTTTCTATCTGTATTTGTGAACACAATATATGGACCGGCTGGTTTGAAGCTGAGCTATAACTGGCAGAACCACAAGGTCACCAGGGACACAGGTGCTGATCTGAAACTGATGTTTTAAAAATAATGTGAAAAAAACAAAACACCATTACATGTCCCTTAACTGTAGTCACCTAACAGACAGCGCATGAAAATGACAACACTAGTCACCATATCAATTTTGTGTATCTAAACATGCAAATTTGTACAACATAGTAACAAACAAACCAAGATCATCCAGGTCCTTACAAATTCAAATTATGAGAAGCTCCAGGTTATGGGTTGGTAAGTTACTGTGTGGAAAAGGCCTATCTGCAGTTTGTAGATGGTATTACCAGTCCAGTGTGCACTGCTCCAAACACACTTAGCTAAGTGTGATGAATGTAAATCAGCACCTCCAAGTCTGAGACAAGGGTTCTCCTGGAGAAAAAAAAAGGTGCATTACTTGATCAGGATGAAGGGGAAGCAGTTGACCCATTCAGAGCTCAGGCTCAGGAGACTTTATGAGCGATTGTTAAAGACATTGGAAGCTTGACCACCAGTTAGGAGCATTTGCTGCAGCACTGCAAGCTTTGTAATTATCTGTGGTTATGAATTGAAGTGCAAAGGAAAGCTCTCACTTTACCTGTCAGTCTCTGTTCAAGCCCTCACCTATGGAGATTTTAAAAAAGTTCAGCGATTCATTACATTTACTCACTTAGCTGACACTTTTATCCAAAGCGACTTACAATTCATATATAAGTCAGAGGTCGCACGCCTCTGGAGCAACTAGGGGTTAAGTGTGTAGTTCAGGGACACATTGGTGGGTATCGCAGTGGGAAATGAACACGGAGTTCCCACACCAAATGTCTTATCCACTGCTCCATCACCACCCCAGTTGATTCAGTTGAGTTCAGTCCGTGGGGGACTTGGCTTGGGAACCAGAGGGTGCAGTGCTGCAGCAGATGCTCCTAACTGTTGGTCAAGCTTGCAGTTCGAGTCCAGCACAGACCACTGCTGAAGGTGATGCTTCAGCTGCTCCTTATTAGAATGGGTAAAATGCAGAGAATACTGTGTATAATTGTATGTAACAATAAAGTTGATTATTATTACAATTTGTTTTTGATGGTATTGGGGACTACTAACATCTCTTTATCAGCAGCCTTTAGTGACTATTTCTCCCAAATTTCCAACAGGACAAACACGCAAAAGTTGTGTAAAGGATGTGTTTACTTTTAGTTCAGAAAATTCTAAAGTACACTATTTGCTTTTTCGCTTCAGCTGTATCTCCCTCTGTGGATCCTCTCTAAACTCTAGCTGGGTAGTTCTCATCCTTGATAAGAAGAAAGAAAAATATAGTTGAAGGGTTGTTTCTGTCTCTGGTGCCGTGATAACAGGCTGCCCTAGATACAGCTCGACAGACCAGTTATCCCTAGAAACCAGCTCGGCTGATGTCAGATTGGTGAGAACATCACATAGAATATAACTAGGTAGTTGTCACATAATTGTTTAGAAAGACACACACAATTCTGTGACTGCACTTGGACTCTGTGGTACAATGTTGCCCTCAACTGCTGTGGGAAATACTGTAATTACTAGCTCATTCATATGAACAACTGATTGTACTGTCACTTGCGTTCTGTATGTCCTGACATCATATCATGTTAGGACAGACAGTATGCCCGATGATTATCAAGTACATAACAAGTGCATGAATATAATATATATAATATATGCCATTGATGCTTCATGGTTAAATGGGCTTATTATTATGTTCAGACATTCATATTCATCAATAGGAATTGATTAACTGCCAACTTCCAAGCCATCCTACAATTTAATACTTATCGCTTAAGGTTTTTTTCTACTAAGAGCTTGGGATATAATTTATACTTTTATCTCAAACTAACATTAACCTTGTGTGTTTCATTAGAGTCTACTGATGAGTTAACCAATTTATACACACATACAGACACTGTCAATTATAAATCATTAGCAAATACAAACAGACACACACACACATACACACAGAATATTGATCAAGAGAGCAATTGTGATTCATTTCATATCAAACTGGGCTGAAGAAATGACTATAGCCGATTTACAATGACTATGCATGTGAATCTTTTATCAGTCTATGCTAGTGATTATTACAGGAACATCATAACTTTCATTTAGACCAATTATTCCTGTACATGATGGATGGATGTTATTGATTTGATTCAATAAAAATACACTTAATGTTAGGTTCACGGACATCACATATCAGTTTGCAGAAAATACTTCTATTGCAAAATGCAACAGCACACAGCATGTTTGCTGTGCTATGAGGGGTTTTGTATTACATTTTATATTATGTCAGGTTACTAACCTGATAAAAATCAATTTCATGAGTTTGCTCAGTTTGGCATATGTGTCATCCCTGGAACAGCACACTGCCAGTGCAAATAACTGTGTTAATGTCTCAGTGCTGGGTGCTGTTGTAATTCCCCAGATGACTGCAGTTGACTCAGGCACCTTTTCCTCACCTAAATAGTTCCTCACAACGAAAACGTGTAGCAAAACGTCTGTTTTTGCCATGTATTTCACTGCGCTGTGGTAAGACAGAAAGGCAAGAAGCTTAGGATCTAGTTAGCAGCTGTCAGAAAAGTGCTTAATATAAAAGGCTGCCAAATTAAATGACTAGCATGTACAGATATACTTTGTCAAAATGGCTTACCCTCTTGTGGAAGTTATGTGGGATCATTCCCTACAAGTATCATAACTTTTCACAGATTTTGTGAAAATTAATACTAAATCTCACCTATAAATACATTTTTTATTTATACACAACCACACTGTAAGAAGCAAGATAGAAATGGAAGAGTAAATAGACAAAAGTGTGTGTGTTTTTAGCACTGTGGCCTCTCAGCAAGAAGGTCGTGGGTTCAAACCCCGGTTGCCCCGGCTTCCTCCCACCGTCCAAAGACATGCGGACTAGGTTGATTGGTGACCCTAAATTGTCCTTAGGTGTGAGTGGGACTGGTTGTTTGTCTATGTGCCCCTGTAATGGGCTGGTGACCTGTCTAGGGTGCACCCCGCCTTTCGCCCGAAGTCAGCTGGGATTGGCTCCATCCCCCCGCGACCTTGTACGCAGGATAAGCGGTTGACGATGGATGGATGGATGGATGGATGGATGGTGTGTGTTTATGTGTGCTTGGCAAACACACAGACAGAGGAGCATACAGACAGGAGGAGAACAAATGGAAAGATGCAGAGAGAGAGAGAGAATGCTCCGAGCTTACTCATACAGGAAGAAGTCACAAGGTTAAAATACACACACGTACACTAATCACACTAATGAGGATCCGTGTTAATTAAGGCAGGTAATTCATCAGGGTTTTTCAGAGTCTAAAAATCTGTTTGGACTGCTAATTCAATTGCACAGACACACAGGGTTTCCCATTCAAGCTATGAGCACGGTCCCATTAAAGGGGTAGTGTTTGCAGCAGATGACCGATCGCAAACAAGGAAAAGTCTACTGGCAGCAGAGCGCCATATTTATAACAAAGAGCAAACATTGGACAAATATGAAGAAGAAAATTTTATAATCCAGGCTAGAGTCCTATAATATCACTGTCCCATCATCAGGGCACAAGTAAATATGACTATAATTACATTTGTGGATTCCATTAATGGGTGTGTTGCTTAGATTGCCTATATAACATATGAGCATTAAAGTATTGTATAAAACAGTATGTGGGATCTTCTACAAATGGTTACTCCATTTTCCAAGAGAACTGATTGGTCAGTCAGCGGTGCTTTTATAGCGTTGATCTCTTATCTCAAACACAACCTGCTCTGGAGCAGGTTAGCCATTCAGCATAAGTTACCATGGTGATGTAGCCTGGTAAGAAGTGAACCACTGTTGCAGGACTGGAAACCTAGGGTTAAACCTGATATTACCTCACTAACCCCAAATCCTACTGTTTAGTACAGACCCCAGGTATAGAGTCACAAATGTTCAAAACAGAATCTACAGGACTTTACTTAGCAAACATTATGGTCTTCTAATGTGATATCCCTAAATCCATAGACTGAAGTTTTTGTTTGAATGTTTGTAATAAAAACGATGCTTTAATTTGTCTGTCGCATGAGCCTGTTGAAAACAACACTTCATCTCAAGTTACACCTTCCGCTTTGGAGGTTTAATTTTATCCTTCATTTAGACATGAGTTCTGTAGCTCCTTTCATTCATGAAGTTGGTATGATTTTCATCTCATCTGGTTAAAATGTGATTTTGTCCAATACTGGTTCATCACCAACCTTGTGGTGGCAGCCTGGCTGACGGTGAGTGTCATGTTTATTTCTCCTTATTTTGTGATTCTGTTTTCCCTTTGCCCTGCGATAGACTGGCGACCTGTCCATGGTGTACCCCGCCTTTCACCCAATGTCACCTGGGATTGGCTCCAACCCCCGCCACCCTGTACACAGGATAAGCGGCTGACGATGGATGGATGTTTTCCCCTGGTGTTTTGTTTTCTTGTACTCTGCCTGCCTCCCTGTGTCTCCTCCCCTGCATGTGCTCTCTCTCTCTCTCTCCCTCCGCTCCTGAGCCCAGCCAACGACCCGCACCTGCACCTCGTCAGCCACCTCCTCTGCCTGCCACACCTGCCAGCAATCAACCTCATCTCCCACAGTACTTCTACCCCGGTTCTCCAGTCAACCCCTGCTTGATCGTCGTTGCTCCAAACCCGGTTCCACTTCACCACTCAAGCACTTGCGTATTCTGCGTCGTCACTGTTTCCTTGTACTTTGTTTTCCCTGCGTCTAACCCTGTCTGTCTGTCTCCCCTCCAGGTTCACTCGCCTCCATCCTCCATTCCGTCAGCTTTATACCAACGATGGATCAAAATGTAATGTGAAAGGAGTCACTCATAGTAACAAACCCACAGAATTACCACCCGACTGCAGTGTTTAAACCATGTCTGAACAAACCCGTTTAAAAAGGCATTTTAATCTAAAACCAGTTAAAAGTGGCTAGTCCTGGAATTTTACAAAGGGTTAAAATCTAGGAACTGGGGTCTGTGTCTAACATAGTACTTGCAAAGGATTGATAAATTTATTCAAGTAAATTAAAATTGTTAATATTACATGTTTTACTATGAATCTATTTACTATTAAAATTATAGTGTGCTATTTATTTATATATTTGTAACAGGATACTATAACATGAAACAGATGTGTTGCATGAAGGGTTTCTAGCCAAGGCTAATTTGGGATCCCTGTCCCCAGGTAGGCTCCTTCACTTAAAAAAGATCACCACAGCACATAATAGTGACATTCCTTACATGATCGCACAACAACCACATCACATTACAATCATTCACAAGTGTTGCATATGTGCATGTGCATATGTTTATAGGTGCGCGTATCCACGTGCATGCGTGCGCATAGTCTTTATGAATATGTTTATCTATGTGTATCTGTTACTCCATCTGTGCGTGCACATGTGCATGGTCAGTGGTAAATGATCGCAGGTTTGTTTTTGTTTTCAGCCAGTGGTTCACCTTTTCATTAAATGTTTTCAAATCACTTTGTGTTTTTATTTCAGTTGGTAGGGCATTCCAAAAATGTATCCCTTTTACCGAGAAAGATGACTGACCGAAAGTGGTTTTGCGCTGTGCGACCCTGCAGTTGCCACAAAGTACAGCCGGGGCGCGATGGTTCACACATTTAAAAATCAACTTCATAAAAGAAACTGTCAAAACTGAGCAACTCAGAATTATACAGTTGTGCCATTTCATTTGTTTTTGATCCATTATTTTCAGTGATTGTTTGTGTAGTGATGTAATGAGTTTGACTAAAAATATATCCCTTCTACTTGAATGAGACTTGTAAAAAAGTGCCTTAGCTCCACTGTTTGGAATGCATTTGGAAGAAGGTACCCTTAATTAATAATTAGCATGCTGAGTTGCTGACCCAGTTTGTGTGTGCATTTCTACATGGATATACAAACAATGGCCTGTATAAAAGTATCTGGTTGGTGTACTTTAACATATTTTGTAATCTTCATATAATCCATAATCCATAATATTGCAATAAATATTCTAAATCATAATTTCCCTGTATCTATTGAATATATGACTTCATTATACTTTTACAAAAATCTCTATTAACCATATATAAAAAAAATTAAGGTGGGACCTACTCAAATATTTTAGCATAATTTGTTTTTAATTGGTTTATCCCCTGTAGCTTTTATTGCAGTTTATTTTGCTAACCCGGTGTTGGCCCTCACAGTCTGGTAGAACAAGGAGGGCCTTCTGACATCCTACAGGCCTGACCCCAGCCTGTTGAATTCCCAAAGGCCTGAATTGGGGTTATTTCAAACAAAGAACAGTAAAAAAGGCGCCAAAGCCCATTTCACACCTAGGTGCGAAATAGTGACTCAGACCTACAAGCAGAGCCACTATTGGCTGCATTTGTAATCTTGAAGGTCGCCCCGGTAACGCAGCCGGCGCGCCCCCCTCAGATATAAGAAGAATTAGAAAAATAAGAATTGTCGTTCCACAGCTGCATATGCAGTGATAGGAGACGCAACTTTCACAGCGCTGAACTTTCTTTGTTCCTGAAGTCAGACTTCACTCGGCGGACGATCTGTACTCTGTTTGTTTTCTTTCTACCTCTGTTATTTTTTTCAAATTTTGGATCCCTAAGGAAACTGTTATACACAAGATAACGTTTAAGACGGATAAACTCCATGCTTAACTGAGAGAAGATTACCCTTGTGTTCTACATTCTCAACCTAAGTAGACTTCACTGATTCCTGTTGCTTCTGCCGAAGACTACTACCGGCATCGTCAGAAACGAGCCGAGAGAAAACTCCACAGGATTTCCTAAAAGGTCTGACGCATCTACTTGCTACCAAAGCAAAACGTAAGAGGATTTAGTATGTGTGGGCAGCAGATTCTATAACTTTGTGATTGTAACTTACTTGTACAAGCTTCATGTGGTGAATTTCTGTAAATTTAAATGTAATTTAGGGGTTTCAATATTATTTGTGTGAACAGATGAGTGATCTGTGTGTAAATGTGTAATTTGTAAATATAAAACACAAAATGAAGATTTGTAAACTCACAAAAATATTTTGCAAATATAAAACAGATCTGTAAATACACAAATTCCACAAATAATAAAAATATCTGTGAATATATTTAATAGTTTACAAATAAATGAACCACATTTGTGAATATCTTCCTAACATTTGCAACTTTCAAATAGGCATTTGTGAGTCCAGTTTTAATTTACAAATTGTTGAAAAGTATTTGTGAATATCTTCCAGACATTTGTCACTTTCAAACAGGCATTTGTGAGTCCCGCCTGTATTTGTTGATCTCAGTTCTTCACACACGGAGTTTTGAAACCAACTTTCCGCCAATGGAAAGAAAATCGACTTGTGTCATTCGGAGACACGGAGACCATGTGATGATGCCTGCTGACGCCCGCTGATGACGTCATTTCCACATTAGATTTTCCGCCATCTTGATTCCAAAATCAGCTGGCCTCTAGCCCATTCTGAACCAGATCTGCAACCACCCACGTGGTCGGATCCACGCCTCTCTTAGTCTCTCCTCCTCCTTTGTCTCTCATTCACACACACGCACACACCTACACACATGCTTGCTGGTTTGTTGTATGCTTTGTATGATTTGTTTTATTGGCTTTATTTCATTTTGCTTAGAATAGTTAATAGTGATTTACTTACTAAAGTTGTTGATCATTGATCTATGCTTGAGTTGAATAAATCCTATTATAATTTTAAGAAGTCGTTGCCTGTGATTATATGTGTATAATGTTGTAGTAAGAGTTGGTTACCACGGCCAGTGTACGGATTCACCCGTCTCTGTGTGCCATCTATACGTGGACAAACCCTCTTTTAGACTGATCATATTTGGTTATTGGTCCCTGATTCCAGGGTGGTACCCCATATTTACAAATTATAATTAATAATTTGGAATATTAATAGTTTTATTTGATATTCAACTAATAACCAAACCTGACCATATGTTAATATGTAAAAGGCACATTTTGCACTCTATTGACAGATATCACAGTCATGAAAACACTATATATTTTGGTTTAGGCATAGGAAACATTCACATTCTAATAACATTGTAAATGTTCAGCAACTTCTCTATTAAACACAAATGAGTGATTCAATAACTGCCTTTTATATTTATAGTAGTGAACCACTCTCCTATAGTATTTTGTTGAATGTGCTTCACAAGCAGTTCTTCAGAAAGCTCTGACAACAAAATACAGCTTGTGGCCTTTTCCCAAAAATGAACCTAAATCCCATCATCCCCACTTTCCCACTTCCATTCCATGACACGGAGGCCCTGAACTTTGAAAGCACTCTACTGAAGAGGATCTTCCACTTTGGAAATACACCTGTAGCTCTCGGTATCAACAACCTAGCAGGGGTCCGTGAGCCGTCAAACAGCAATAGCTCTCACTGTAATCAGATGCGATACATCTGCAGACTCTCCTTTTCTCCCCGACAGTCTGAAAAACCCACATCCAACACATACAGTATACAGTGAGAAATACCAGTGCAGAAAACACTCTCCAGGGGGCGAGTATTGAGGCGGGGGAGCTAAGAGCAGAGCTAAGAAAGAGTGTGTGTGAAGAAAAAAAAAAGAGATTAATGTAAAATGCTGGGAGGGATGTTGATTCAAAGCAGAGAGAATCCACTGTGTGGCTTTGCATGGCGAAGTGTTACCCAGTGGTAAACTCACAGTTGTCACATTGGCTTTATGCATATGCTTTCAGAACCTAAAAACAGAAAACACCAAACTGATGTTTTATTGTAAACAGTTGCATTATTGAACATTATTGTATTTATACATAAAATGAAACCTTTATCATAAAACGTGCATGCCAACTCGCTACAAAACAGGCAAGCTGTCATGGACACATATACTGTATGTACACACACTTAGGCACACTTCATGCTACACTACACAATGTTCCAGTGACAAAAAGGGACATTTGAGAAGCTACTGGAGGCCACGTTGTCATCACTGATACATCATTTTTTTGTATGTGTGTGTGTGTGTGTGTGTGTGTGTGTGTGTGTGTGTGCTATGGGATCTGCATTAAGTCGGGTGAATCAGCACATGAAGACATACAGAACATAAGTAACATAATATAATTGTATATTCAGGATCAAAGTGTGGTCAATAGTCAGGAGATTAAAGATCAAACACACTTACATAAATACATATAGCATACACACGTACTAATAAATTATTAATGTGACTATGCTGTGTTTGCATTTTTTTTTTTTTGCTTTTACCCTAAGTAGGGGCGAGCAATACAGCCCATTCTCATCCCAGGGCATACCATGTTCATTTAGTAAATTATGGTCCCATTTAGATGAAAATAGACCATAAAGCAGAGTATGCTTTAGGGAGGAATTATTTATGATTGACAAGTCGTTACCATGGCAACCTGTCAATCAGGCTAGAGTGAATTGTAACCACAGCACTGTGTAAATTTAACCACGCCTATTAGGAGTTGGCTGTTCACTTTCTCTGGTGAGTACATTTAGTTTTAAGCCTGTTGCTTGCTAGACAAAATTGTCAGCCCTGTTAAAATAGTTAACGTGAATTACAGATGCACCTAGCTCCACAGTCTCGTCCAAATATGGTCACGTCCGGTGCTGTTGGCCCTATCGGCCAAAGTCAAGGCTTCAGAACGGCAGTCCACAAACCAAGGTCACGATAACTACGTCCACTTCTTATATACTTATATACAGTCTATGATCCCAACGCTTTGTCATGCACTTCAACCAAGATGAACCATGAGTTTTTTCTAAATGTAACCAAGTAGTATTGATGCCTAAATCTAACCAAACTACCTATAACCACATCTAAAAAAAATACGTTTTATACGGACGCTGACTTACTGTGTCAAATATTGCGTCAGTATTTGTCGTCCTGGAATGAGAACATGTTGATCAATAATGCATCAACTGCCCACTGACATTATTCCCTCTCCAAAAACCTATTTTTGTCTGTCTCTCCCCTCTTGTTTCCGCTTCCATTTATCTAATTATATATTATCACATCTGTGAGCTGAAGTTAAGTGTCTATAGTGGTGGAGTGTTTTGACTCAATCGCCTTGCCGCTCAATTATAATTCGGGGTGCTTAATGAAAAATACATACTGCCATTTGGGGAAATGAATGATTCTTTTTGTTATGTTTTTCCCACCTTCCGTCAGCCCTCTATCCTTTCTTCTTATATTCTTCCGTTTGATCTGTATCCATATGGTTGATGGATTAAATATTAGACTGTTGTATTAGTTTCTTCCAAAATTGACTACAAGCATTTCCCTAAGAACCTAAAGTGTTTTCTATTCTCTCGGGTTACACATCTGCTCAGGTTGGAGGTGGGTAAGCTGATGCAAACTAATAGTACATTGGCTTAGCCAGAATTTGGTACTACCTAAGGTGACAAAATCTCTATGTAACCAGTTTGTTTGTTGGGTCCATGTAAGTACTAGGGGAAAACATGATAACCATTTCAAATAAGTAGCTTTACTTTTTGGGGGGGACAATCATTGTTTTTACCATTATCGTCTAACAGTATGTGAACAGTAGGTTTGTGTGAAGTCTATTGGAAGAGGTAGCCATACATGCTATGTGTTGATTTTTTTCAGGACAGTCAAAGATATCCAGGTGTCATCTATGAGATCACAGAGAGTTGCCAGTTCAGAATTGAGGTTTCTTTAGATAGATATATTAAGAAATTATATTTACTTAATTATTCAGTAAAAGCATTTGTTTTTTTTGTTTTAAATATTATTGTTACTTGTTCATTAATTAAACAACAGCTACATCAAGAAATGAAGTGCTACAGTGCTCAT